ATCATCAAAATATAGTAGTACTTGAAAAATCTATAGGAAATTGTTTTTAACTTATAGTGGGGAAAACTTGTAGATTATGGTATAAAATTAGACATTAAAGAAAACATTAATAAAGACAAAAACAAAAATGCATTGGCACAGCATCAACCATCATAATCATAAGATACGTAAGTTAAGAAAATCTTGGTAATGTATATTAAGCCAAAGTGTTAATTTCCCCTATTTATGAAAAGTTTCTGTAAAATTATCATTCAAAATCCAAAAAGCTAATAAGGAAATGTCTATAGGTTATGGGTCACAGTTTCTAGAAAATAAAAATGGCTCTTACACATATAAAAAGATAAGAAACCCAACTCAGAATAAAAGACATTCAAATTACATGCACACAGAGTTATATGTTATTTACTGAAACGTAGAAGACCAAAAGGTTTTATAGCAACAGTGTGGACATGACTTGATCCCAGGCACTCTCTCTCTTTTTAGAGGCAGTGCAGATGATTGCAACCTCCAGGGAAGACAATTTTCAACATATATAAGCATACATAAAGTATCATACTTTTCACCTTATAATTCCTAAATGAATGTTTATCCTAGAACTATGCCTGTATATGTTCTAAGACATATATTCAAAGTTAATAAATACAGCGCTATTTGCAATAAAAGATTGGTAACAGCCAAAATAACCATCAATACTGTATAAATTATGCTAATCATGGAACAGAATACTCTGTAGTTGCATGAAAAGAGCAACAAACTTGACATGGAAAGACCTCCAAGATAAGTTAAATTAAAAACAAGGAATGGCTCATTGAACAGGGCACCGACTCCTGGGATTTGTGCGTGCTCTTCTTAACCCAGCTCGGGCCTACACATGAGCAACCATGTCTAAGGGGCCTGAAGTTGGTATTATCTTGGCACCACCTACTCCTGTGTGGGTGTTTTCCAGCACAGAAAAGTAGAGATAATTGCCAATGATCAGGGAAATCGAACCACTCCAAGTTATGTCGCCTTTACTGATACCGAACGATTGATCGGCGATGCTGCAAAGAATCAAGTTGTGATGAACCCTACCAACATGGTTTTTGATGCCACACATCTGATTGGATGCAGATTTGATGATGTCGTTGTCCAGTCTGATATGAAGCATTGGCCGTTCATGGTGGTGGACGATGCAGACAGGTCCAAGGTACAAGTAGAATACAAGGGAGAGACAAAAAGCTTCTATCCAGAGGAGGTGTCATCTATGGTTCTGGCAAAGATGAAGGAAATTGCTGAGACCTATCTTGGGAAGACTGTTACCAATGCTGTGGTCACAGTGCTGGCTTACTTTAATGACTCTCAGCAGCAGGCTACCAAAGATGCTGGAACTATTGCTGGCTTCAATGTACTTAGAATTATCAATGAGCCAACTACTGCTGCAAGTGCTTATGACTTAGACAAAAAGGTTGGAGCTGAAAGAAACATGCTGATCTTTGACCTAGGAGGTGGCACTTTTGATATGTCAATCCTCACTATTGAGGATGGAATCTTTGAAGTCAAGTTTACAGCTGGAGACACCCACTTAGGTGGAGAATACTTTGACAACCGAATGGTCAACCATTTCATTGCTGAGTTTAGGCGTAAGCATAAGAAGAACATCAGTGAGAACAAGAGAACTGTCCAGCGTCTCTGTACTGCTTGTGAACGTGCTAAGCGCACTCTCTCTTCCAGTACCCAGACCAGTATTGAGATCAATTCTCTCTATGAAGGAATCGACTTTTATACTTCCATCACCCGTGCCCAATTTGAAGAATTGAATGCTGACCTGTTTCGTGGCACCCTGAACCCTATAGAGAAAGCCCTCCGAGATGTCAATCTAGACAAGTCACAGATCCATGATATTGTCCTGGTTGGCGGTTCTACTCGTATTCCAAAGATTCAGAAGCTTCTACAAGACTTCTTCAATGGAAAAAAACTGAATAAGAGCATCAATCCTGATGAGGCTGGTATGCTCATTCAGGTTTATGAAGGTGAGCATGCATGACCAAGGATAACTATCTGCTTGGGAAGTTTGAACTCACAGGCATACCTCCTGCAACCCGTGGTGTTCCTCAAATTGAAGTCACTTTTGATATTGATGCCAATGGCATTCTCAACGTCTCTGCTGTGGATAAGAGTACAGGAAAAGAGAACAAAATCACTATCACTAATAACAAGGGTCATTTGAGCAAGGAAGACATTGAGTGTATGGTCCAGGAGACTGAAAAGTACAAAGCTGAAGATGAGAAGCAGAGGGACAAAGTATCATCCAAGAATTCACTTGAATCCTATGCCTTTAACATGAAGGCAACTGTTGAAGATGAGAAACTTCAAGGCAAGATCAATGATGAGGACAAACAGAAGATTCTTGACAAGTGTAATGAAATTATCAGCTGGTTTGACAAGAATCAGACTGCAGAGAAGGAGGAATTTGAACACCAGCAGAAAGAGCTGGAGAAAGTCTGCAATCCCATCATTACCAAGCTGTACCAGAGTGCAGGCGGCATGCCAGGAGGAATGCCTGGGGGATTCCCTGGTGGTGGAGCTCCTCCCTCTGGTGGTGCTTCCTCAGGGCCCACTATCGAAGAGGTTGATTAAGGCAGCCCAACTGTAGATGTAGCATTGTTCTACACAGTTAACATTGAAGGACCCAAATTAGTAGCAAATTCTGTGGCAGTTTTTAAAGTTGAGCTGCTATAGTAAATTACTGGGCATTCTTAATACTTGAATATGGAACATGTGCACAGGGGAAGGAAATAACATTGCACTTTATAAGCACTGTATTGTAAGTGGAAAATGCAATGTCTTAAATAAAACTATTTAAAAATTGGCACCATAAAAAAAAAAAAAAAAAAAAAAAGTAAAGATATACTTTCCTTGTATCTTTATTATCCCCTAACATATACTGTCTTTGTTAAAAAGAAAAAATCACAGCCGGGCTCGGTGGCTCAGCCTGTAATCCCTCGCCTTGGGCGTCTGAGGTGAGTGGATTGCCTGTGCCTGAGGGTTCGAGACCCGCCTGGGCAACTTGGCGAGACCTCATCTCTATAATAAATCAAAAATTAGCGGGGCGTGGTAGCGCGCGCCTGTAGTTCCAGCTACTTGGAAGGCTGAGGCAGAAGGATCACCGGAGCCCAGCAGGTCGAGGCTGCAGTGACTGGGAGCGGCCACTGCACTCCAGTCTGGGTGACAGAGTGAGACTCCAACTCAAAAAAAAAGAAAAAAAATCACAAAGCCATTGAGTTGACTTGAGAGATGAAAGATGGCCTTATCCTCAATAAGTAAAAGAGAATTGTGAAAAGGAGAGTCATTAATGAGAGGCAATGAGAGTCATCACAACAAAAAGGCATTAAACATAGTCATATTTATTTCAAAACATATAATTGACTCCATATTAATAAATATGTTTAACACTGAATGTAGAAAAACTGTTTTGCATATTCTAAGAGGACAATCTACTAAAGAATCGGAGAAAAAGATAGTTCTTTACCTCTAGGCTATTAATAAAACAATCTAGGCCAGGACTAGTCTCAGGGGGATTGCAGGGGCATTGAGGGAGAGCAAAAGAGGAGCTGATAAAATCAGGAAAGATTTTTCTACTCTTCTTTCCTTACTGAGGCCTTAAATCTAGAGTTAGAAAATATACATTCAGGCTGGACTCGGTGTCTCAGCCTGTAATCCCAACACTTTGGGAGGTTGAGGCGAGTAGATTGCCTGAGCTCGAGGGTTCAAGACCAGCCCAGGCAACTTGGAGAGACCTCGTCTCTACAATAAATCAAAAAATTAGCCGGGTGTGGTAGCGTGTGCCTGTAGTTCCGGCTACTCGGAAGGCTGAGGCGGAAGGATCGCCAGAGGCCAGCAGGTCGAGGCCGCGGTGGCCAGAAGGGTGTTACTGCACTCCACTCACAGAGTGAGACTCCAACTCAAAAAAAAAGAAAAGAAAATACACATTCACACATATACCTGGTTCTATAGGTGCTGTCTTTCTCAATTTTGAAGAGGAGCCACTAGTTAGCGGTCAGGGTCAAAAATGCAAACAAGTTTCAATTTCAATCTAGGTTAATAATGGGGCCATAAGGCCCTCTGAACTCTAGCAGGAGCTGCTCCTGCTGGAACTTAAAGCTCAGGTGCAACCACAGTATCATTAACTGGAAAATGGAAAGTGCTGCACAAGGTCAACGGCTTCCCCAGAAGCTCTATGTGGATGTGAGTCCTTTCAATGCCTTCTTTGTATGAACCCACCATCCAGCGAGCTGGCCTGTGGCCAGCCCTCCACCCTCTGCTGCTGGGGGAGACCCATCAGCCAGGCAGCTGCCTAGGTCCCTCACCCCTGGAGGGAACCCATCCGGCCACATTTTCTGTAAAGCCTCAGATGAAACAGAATCTCCCAGATTTGGGGTCTTCTCTCCTAATGACGATAAATGGCAGAGAAATTTTCCAGAAAGGAACAAAGGGAGACCCCTCTCAGATCAGCCTCAAATTAGAGTAGAAAGTGCCTGCTCTGAGTGACTTCAGGGCATGCAAAGGACCCTCAGCTACTCCTGGTTTCCTCGGGTCTTTTTCCTAGACATAACTGTCTAGGGAAAGTAATAGAAGGCGTTACCCTAAAACCACCATTGCTTTCAAGAAGGGGAGGCTGAGGAAGAGAGAAGAGAGGGCTCCTTCATTTTGTTACACGATCTCATGGCCAAGAGCAAGCGGGAGGTGGCTAAAGAGAATACAAGAGGTTTCTGCCTTGTACTGTAGAACAGCCTGGTGACGGTTTCAAAGGAAAGAGATGTCTCGGGTTCTGGCACGTTTGAAGAGAGCCGGAGACCAAAGGGAAAGATTTCAACAGGATGACTAGACACACTTTCACAGGGCATATTTTTTTTAAGCTAGGAAAGACCTCAGGGATCTCCTAGTTCGATTCCTTCATTTTCCAGACGAGGCTCTGAGGCTTGGAGAAGGTAAGCAGCCTGGAGAGGGCAAGGCTGCACAGCTTGTTATATCTGCTTGGGGGCATGAAGAGGGGCAGAGAGGTTGCAGTGAGAGATGCCGGGTAGGTGAACTTGCTGGGCCAAGTGGTTAGTTACATTCAGAAATCCCCACAGATGAAAACTTCCCACCCTGTACCCCTTCCCATTGATTTGTCACAAAAGTGGACAGGTCCTGACAGAGCTAATGCGTGGGAAGGAGGAGTGCAGGTGTGTCCTCACTTCCCAGTCCGGGAGGCCACCTGAATGGCTTTGATCCACTCTATGCGCTCCTTAGGGGTGGCTGCTTGTAAGAAATAATGCACTTCGTCCGCCGTAATGATCTCAAAAAGGTTCTCCTCGTCATTCTTCCTGCCTGGGGAAAGAGAAAGGAAATGACAAAGTGCTCAGGCCTCAGGATGTCCTCTTGGCCCATCCTTCTTCTTCAAGCCATGACATCTCTAGTTTCTTAGACTTCCAAGGAAACTAAACATGTGGTTTTCAGACACATAAACACTGTATGATTACTGCATAATTCATTGCATAATTGTATATATGGTACTCATATAGATAGATACATGGTATGATTGTGTGTATATATATTTTTTAAGAAATAAGTAAAACACTCCAACAGAAATATTTTCTTTTATGATTTACAAGCAAACTAAATTTCTCACCTTTGCATACCAATAGTATTCGGTAGGTAACTTCTTTTTTTTTTTTTTTTTTTTTTTT